CTATCGTGCAGGCTGCTTTTTGCAAACACACAGCCACAGCTCTACAAACTCACCCTGTGAGGAGTGTGTGTACGGCTGCTGACAGGTGTGTGTCGAGCTCTTGGGCCAGCCTGTCTCCCACTGCAGCCAGGCAGTCCTCAATGGAGTTCTCCGGGTTGGCTGGAGCGAACACCAGTGAATTGTGTCGGTCGAATCCCGTCCTGGAAAAGGCTGCAAGCAACACAGGTCACAGGACAGAGTGATATCGCTGACAGAAGTGCAGCTCGTTTAAAGGAGGTAGTCAAAGAAAGGGAAGAACACGAAACATAAAGAGTGTTTGTTTTAATTAGTGCGGCACTTCTGACTAACTTTTCTTTTTATTAAACCTCTAATAATAAGCAGTCCTACATATCATTAAACAAATATGTAAGACTGCTTTCTTCCATTTGTGCAACATCTCTAAAAATGAGAAATATCCTGTCTCAGAGTGACGCTGAAAAACTAGTTCATGCATTTATTACTTCCAGGCTGGACGACTGTAATTCATTATTATCAGGAAGTCCTAAAAATTCCCTGAAAAGCCTTCAGCTGATCCAAAATGCTGCAGCAAGAGTCCTGACAGGGACTAGAAAGAGAGAGCATATTTCTCCTGTATCGGCTTCTTTTCATTGGCTTCCTGTTGAATCCAGAATTCAAAATCCTGCTCCTCACATACAAGGTCTTAAATAATCAGGCCCCATCTTATCTTAATGACCTTGTAGTACCATATCACCCTATTAGAGCACTTCGCTCTCGCTCTGCAGGCCTACTGGTTGTTCCTAGAGTATTTAAAAGTAGAATGGGAGGCAGAGCCTTCAGTTTTCAGGCCCCTCTTCTATGGAACCAGCTTCCAGTTTGGATTCGGGAGACAGACACTATCTCTACTTTTAAGATTAGGCTTAAAACTTTCCTTTTTGCTAAAGCATATAGTTAGGGCTGGACCAGGTGACCCTGAATCCTCCCTTAGTTATGCTGCAATAGGCTGCTGGGGGATTCCCATGATGCACTGGGGGTTTCTCCTTCACTCACTATGTGTTAACAGACCTTTCTGCACTGAATCATACTTGTTATTAATCTCTGTCTCTCTTCCACAGCATGTCTTTATCCTGTCTTCCTTCTCTCACCCCAACAGCAGCAGATGGCCCCGCCCCTCCCTGAGCCTGGTTCTGTCGGAGGTTTCTTCCTGTTAAAAGGAAGTTTTTCCTTCCCACTGTCGCCAAAGTGCTTATTCATAGGGGGTCATATGATTGCTGATGACTGTATGTATGACTCCGTATATGGTCTGTATGTATTATTGTAATTGAACTAATGTCTGAGATCCTGTTAATGAGACTCATAAATCATATTTACTTAAGAATAACATTAAAGCATCTTAGACTAGTGAAACACGATGAAGCAACCACCCACGTGTGTGAGCTGTGAAAGAAAGACAAAAATCCTCATTTTTAAACCAGAGTGAGACAAAACAATCATTCACTTAAAATCAAAATCAGCTTTTCTGTGACCAACCACAGCGATCTGCAGCAATATTCACGCTTTTTGGAACGAAAGCAAAGAGCTTTAACTGTACATGTGTCATATTTGCACACTGAACTTAATTTCAGTTTAAAACTTCAACTTCAGTTTAAAAACTTAAGACCAGACTAGTGATGGTGTTCAGTGCGTTTGAAGGCTAATCTCTGGAACTACAGTTAGGTCCATAAATATTTGGACAGAGACAACGTTTTTTAATTTTGGTTTTTACCACAATGAATTTTAAATGAAACAACTCAGATGTAGTTAAGGTGCAGACTTATTGCTTTAATTAAGTGGTCTGAACAAAAGGATTGCATGAGAATGTCTAAAACTAAAGCATTTTTAACTCAATCCCTTGATTTCAGGGGCTCAAAAGTAAATGGGAAAATTAAATAACTGAAAATAAAATTGTCAATTCCTAATACTTTGTTGAAAACTCTTTGCTGGCAATGACAGCCTGAAGTCTTGAATTCATGAGCATCACCAGATGCTGGGTTTCCTCCTTTTTAATCCTCTGCCAGACGTTTACTGCAGCAGCTTTCAGTCGCTGTTTGTTTTTGGGCTTTTCTGTCCAAAGTTTAGTTTCCATCAAGTGAAATGCTCAACTGTGTTAAGATCGGGTGTCCGACTTGGCCATTCATGAATATTCCCCTTCTTTGCTTTAATAAACTCCTAGGTTGCTTTGGCTGTACGTTTTGGGTCATTGTCCGTTTGTATTATCAAACGGCGCCCAGTCAGTTTGACTGCATTTAGCTGGATGTGAGCAGACAGTCTGTCTCTGAACACCTCAGAGGTCATTCAGCTCCTTCTGTCCTGTATATCACATCATCAATAAACACCAGCGTCCCAGAGCCACTGGCAGCCGTACACACCCAAGCCATCACACTCTGTCCACTATGTTTTACAGACGATGTGGATGCTTTCGATCGTGAGCTGTTTCACGCCTTCGCCACACTTTTTTTCTTGCCCTCATTCTGATAGAGGTTGATCTTGGTTTCATCTGTCAATCTAGCCTCTCTATTCTTGAGGTTTATGAATGACTTACGCCTTGCAGTGAACCATCTGTATTTTCTTTCACGCAGTCTTCTCTTTATGGTAGCCCTGGATATCGATACGCCTACCTCCTGGAGAGTCTTGTTCACTTGGTTGGCTGGTGTGAAGGGGTTTCTCATCACCATGGAAATGATTCTGCGATCATCCACCACTGTTGTCTTTTGTGGACGTCCAGGTCTTTTTGAGTTCACCGGTGCTTTCTTTCTTTCTCAGGATGTACCAAACTGTACATTTTGCCACTCTTAATATTGTAACAGTTTCTCAGATGTGTTTATTTTCTGTTTTCGCAGCTTAAGGATGGCTCGTTTCACCTTCCTGGAGAGCTCCTTTGACCGCATGTTGTCTGTTCACAGCAAAATCTTCCAAATACAAGCACCACACCTCAAAACAAATCCAGGCATTTTATCTGCTTTTTTGAAAACAACATAATGAAGGAATTGCCCACGCCTGCCAATGAAATAGCCTTCAAGTGAATTGTCCAATTACTTTTTGTCCCTTTAAAAAGAGGCTGGCAAATGTTGAGGAGCTGAAACTCCTAAACCCTTCATCCAATTTGAGTGTGGATGCCCTCAAATGAAAGATGAAATTCTACACATTATCTCCATTATGTAACTAGTTTCAGTAAACAAATATATATGGACCTAACTGTAGCTGTGTATGTTTGTGATCACTTACAGGCGGCAATTTCGCCATCCAGTTCTCTCAGCCCTTCCTCTATTTGCTCCTTTATCACTCTGGATCTTGTTTTCTCGGCCTCTGCATCTCCTGAAAGAGATAAACAAACATGAAATATGAACCAGCGTCGCTCCATCCTTCATTCTTTCTGGCTCTCTCCCACACAGTCGCCGTAGTTTTCATGCAAAACTTCCCCAAATGTCTTAAAACACGACTAAAGAAAAGCTGTTCTGGAAATTCTGAATTGCTTTGACTGCATTTTAACAGGATATTGTGGTTGGACTTCAGTGTGTGCCAGCTGTTTTTGTTGCATTTGCATGGTCGCTTTTTAAAGCACTCCTTCTTTCAGCGCCTCAATAATCATTTTAGGAACCATGAACATATTTCAGAAAAGGTCATTTACACTGATGTCAACAGCTATTTTGTTATTGTTTTATGCATGCGTTTAGTTTTCTTTATGCAACTATTCTAACAACTTATAATAAAGTTGGTCATGTGGCTTTTTCGAAAAGGTTCATTGTCTTTTTTTGATTCATAAGAGTTATGCACTCACTAGTTTGTGATATAATCTGATAAATTAAATAGAGGATCTGACAAAGAATGGGTTAAGTTGCTAACACAACAAATATGGGATCTGACCTTTTATTAAATCATGAAATATTTAACAGGCTAGGATCAACATCAAAGTGGAAATTGGGCCAGATCTTGACTCCACTATAAGGATGAGCGGTTGATGCCGCGCACACCAACTTTCCTGGAGGAGAGAACCACCTTTGCAGGCAGCCGCTCCTCCTCAGCCTGACGAGCTTGAATTCAAAGCAAAAAACTGTTAATGGTTCTCAGTCATCGTGTGCACGAAGGCTGTCAAGGCAGAGGTCAATTATTTACAGCACCGAGTCTACACTGCTCGGGGTGTAATGAACCACGCAACACAAAGGCGCCAAGTGGGGCTGCACTGCATTTACACAAAAATACAATAAACCCTCAAAAAAATCAACTTTTACATTTGACCTCTCACCCCGGAGAGATGCAGGGATCATTTTATAATGTTCATACATGCAACCCAGAGGCACTGGTTATTTCCAGTGTGACTGGACTCCATTGGTTCAGTTTTAGTAGCTGACTTTTCTCAGTTTATGAAATCAAATACTGACATTTTTTAACAAAAAGCAAGAAGACACTCTGACAACTGGGATCTTGTTCTCTCAGGTCCCTGCATGGGTGCCATGAGGACCAGTGTTGGCTTTTCCTGGCCTTGGTGCTGTGTCAGCATTTAGGCAGACAGCTAGCCAGACAACTATTTTGCTTTGGTCCACTGGTGTGTGAGTAATGCTACAGTGATTGCACATGACAGGCTGTCAGAAATTGGACCGGGTCAAGCGGAAAGCAGGGATCAGCCACTCATCTGCCATCTCCGCCCATTCCAAGCATGCACACAACAATAAAATGGACAGGAAATAAAAAGAACTCCCCCTCTCTCTCTCGTCTTCTTTTCCTTGCTCCAAATACATTTTTCAGATACCTCTGCTCCTTTACTTCCATGCATCATCCAAAGAGGCTCTCCAGCAGTCTTGTGCTCTCTTTAATCACTAAGATTTATTTCAGGATTAACGCTGTGAGGTCATAACTTGGTTGCACAAACTAAAAGAAACGAACAGCTGCTGGCATTTACCTTCACACATCCTTTCTCTAGTCTCACATAGCAGACACAGAAAATCATTACTATACTGTACATTTGGGGGCGACCGTGGCTCAGGGGGTTGGGAAGCGTATCTGTAACTGGAAAGTCGCCGGTTCGATCCCCGGGCTCTCTGTCCTGGTCGTTGTGTCCTTGGGCAAGACACTTTACCCTACCGCCTACTGGTGTTGGCCAGAGGGGCCGATGGCGCGATATGGCAGCCTCGCTTCTGTCAGTCTGCCCCAGGGCAGCTGTGGCTACAACCGTAGTTTGCCTCCACCAGTGAGTGAATGTGAGAGTGACTGAATAGTGGCATTGTAAAGCGCTTTGGGTGCCTTGAAAAGCGCTGTATAAATCCAATCCATTATTATTATTAGTTCCACAACACCTCTTTTGGTATGCCGGGCATAAAAGGGAACAGGAAGAAAAATGTGAGCCAGCATGCCTGAAGCCATGTAACAGGGTTGTTGCAAAGACCTCTGTGAAGACACGACAGCTTTATGCACTCTGGTCACCATATTGGGTTATTGAAAGGATTCTAGCTGGGCTTTAGATGAGAATCCACTAAATCTATTGGTTTACAGACACTGGCTTCAACTATCACGTTAAAGTGTCCATACAGGTCTTCTGAATGTGTTCTCCTGCTAAAGTCAGATTCCAGTCAGAGCCAAATTAAGCTGGCAAAACAGGTGGCTACGTGCCTACACACCCCAGATATTTTATGTTACAACCATGTGTACGCCACTATTTGTGTGCTCTCTGAATGCAAGTGTGTGAGGGTTGTGTACGTGCACAGTGTGCAAAATGGGAAGGAAAAAAACAACTGTTGCTCATCTCATCAGCAATTTTTAACAAGAGGTTTGCCACAAATGCAAAGCATTTCCTCTCACCTTGAGCTGCAGCTGGTTGGTCTGATCTACCTGCAGGCACCATTCCTAGGTAGTTAAGCAAAATATATTTGGTTTCAAAATGGAAACCCTCAGGCACAGTGGCTGGGATTGAGGCAGAGGCGGTGGAGCCTGAGGTAGCCATCGAACAGATGTGTATCAGACTCTCAGGCACATTAATTCATACAGTCAAAGCTGGACGTCTCACCTAGGGAAAATAACAACCAGAGGAAGAATAATATCTCGTTAGAGGCACAATCGTTACAGCCTGAAGGATGGGCTGGCTGAGGCTGAGGCACCCATTAATAAAAGCTAAGAAAATCTATATCTAAACTCTGGCATTGTATCATACAATATGTTATTTAATCTTAAAAAAAAAAAGAAAAAGCTGTTATATGAATGACATAAACAGATGCCGCCCTCAGGTTTACAGTGTCCTGCCCCCACTGCGTGCACTAAGGGGACAAATTGAGTGATTTTAGACTTATGTGACTGCATGGATCCCAACTGAGGACAGAAGAATGGTACAGGACATATTTGGGTACTTTTTTTGTGTCTAGATCATGATTTACACAACACATGTGGCAAACAGATGGTCGTTTTAAAAATCCCCCCAAAAAACCCAAAAACAATTTTCAAATAAAATGATCACTGCACGAATATGAAACACGACTTTAACCCCCTGTAACTTCTAAGTTAATCGCCCCACATGGTCCTCCAGAGACGAGGTGACACCAAGCGGACCAAAAATTCCATTCATGTCAAGTCTGCCAAATTAAACAAAATACTTCCGGGTTTAACTATCAAAATAAAATAATGTGTATAACCGAGTAATTAAAAAGTTCAATCATCAAATAACAAAGCGGCTACGATAATTACAGTAAATTAAATAAACACAACTATCCTCAAAAGATTTCAGTATGTCTGCAAAAAATAATCTACCAAATAACATAACCATTCGCTTTACTAACCAGACATGTAGCTTTGCTAATTAATTACCTGACTAATTACATAAGTGTCCGCTGCACCCCTCGCTGGAACACCCAAACTCACATGCAAGCTACTGTTAGCTAGCTTGACGTTACACGTTTTACGTGCTGGAGACTCGAAACTTCATTTTAACTTAAGCTCAGCGGGTGTCCGTTTCTTACCGTCCTTGTCCAAAGGCAACCAGATGTGGACAGACGACAAGCTGAACAGAATTATGAACACACACACATAAACACACACACTACTGTAGCAGACGCCGGAGAGGGTAGCCCACCAATGGCAGGTAGCCGTTAGTACTCAGGGTGCTCTGGATGTTAGCGTACAAAACCGGCACCAGTCTTCCTGTCAGAGCCTTCATAATAATACTCACCTCTGCTACCGGACACCGTTCAACCTGTGGTCACAAGAGGAAACTTGCGAAATTTACAAACACGTCGTGTCTGTTATTGGGGGAGATAATCCTTGATTTTCTGTAGCTATAAGAATTTCGAGGGGAGAGCATCCAACCTTAGCACCCCGCCCTCGTTACAAATATTTAACTGGAACGCGAAATGTTATTTTGAAAGTGCAGACCGGAAGTTCTATTTTACCTCCAGTGGTCAGCTCGACCACGAAAGCCAAACCGTGTTTTCACCCCAAACTGTTTGTGCTTCAGTGGACGGTAAAAGTGACGGAGACAGTTAGTTTGACAGACTCCGAAGAGACAATAAACATAACTGAGAAAAGCCATGGCGCTCACCGACGCTGACGTACAGAAACAGGTAAACTTTATGGACAAGTTAAACCACGTCAATCCCACTGACGTTACGGTAAACATACATAATCTCAGTTAACGGGCCGATACGTGGACTGCAGCACTGTCCCGCTGTTAATCATTATTCCGCACTATGTTTAACATTTAAGGCAACGCCGCAATCCATTTAGTTCTGGTTGTCGGTGGCAGTTTACATTATGACGGGTGCAAAGTTAAAGTTAATGCCTAAATGCTAACATTGCCATTAATGCAAGTCAAGTTGGTCTCATTGCAGTAAATAATGAAATTTGGTCACTTTCTAATGCTAAACTATCAGTTTTAGTAAAACTGTAAAAGTGTGTGCGCATGTTTTTGTATCATTCAGAAAAAAACAGACAGACACATAAAGGACGCACATTGTCAGAGATCCAAACTTGAACCAGCTGCTTTTTGTGTTTCTTATGGCAGATTAAGCACATGATGGCCTTCATTGAGCAAGAGGCCAATGAGAAAGTTGAGGAAATTGATGCAAAGGTAACGGAAGCTCTTCTGCCTGTCAGTCTTGTGTTTTGTCATAGTGACCACTGATTTAATGAATCTTCTCTTACACAGGCGGAGGAAGAGTTCAACATTGAGAAAGGTCGTCTGGTGCAGACTCAGCGGCTGAAAATCATGGAGTACTATGAGAAGAAGGAAAAGCAAATTGAGCAGCATAAGAAGATGTGAGAAAGAGTGGTCACTCAAACTGCACAAATAGGAATGCATTCATCAAAAGAAAATTTAGTTAGCCTTTGGAAATGGTACACCACAGCACGCCTTACGTTCTTGTTTTTAGCTCCGCTGTCCCATCGGTTTGACTGTTTCTGTAAGATGCTTTTTGTCGCTGTTTATCCCACACTTCAAACACTTACAGATCTGACACTCTGCAATCTCACATCTCATGAGTAAACGCTGTCTTTCTGAGGCAGTGACTGATCTTCTGATAGCTTGTTAGGCATCCATTGAACTAACCAACGAGGAAGCAGCATAAACAGATTTAATCAATTCTGGGCCAACAACTCTGAAGAAGAGAAAATGACGACTCTAAAAAGTTCAAAATAAAATCATATTTGGTTCAGGCAGAAATTTTGCTTGAAGAATATCTCTGATAAAAGGAATTAATCGGTATAATCAACGCCCTCCACAGCCAGAGATCCAACATGATGAACCAAGCCAGGCTGAAGGTGCTGAAGGCCCGAGACGACATGATCACGGTGAGCGATGAATGCTCATTTCTGTGTCCACTGGAAACCTCCTCTATTCAAATTCATCATAACTTTAATGATGAATTTGAATTTGTTTCCATGATTAGCTTTCATTCTTGCACTAAATTGTTGTGCACGTATTTACACATGGAAATAATGTGTAAATGTTGTGTCCTCTACTTGACCTTCACTACTCCAGTACAGTGAAAAAGACACGTTCCAGTTAAATATTTGTAAAAACTGCTCAGATGCAAGATAAATATGATTTTGCGTACCATAATTCATGAGTCATATATCAATTTCTAATGTATCCAGTTGCCTGTTTTTGTCGCAGGATCTGTTAAACGAGGCCCGTCGGAGACTTGCAGAGATTGCTAAGGACCCTGCTAAGTACTCCAGTCTGTTGGAGGGCCTAGTGCTTCAGGTATAATCTACCATTGTGATCTATGATTGCAAACCAACTGTTAATATATTATTCAGTTTTCTATATTTAAAAAGTGAGCTTTTTTTAATGTTTCAGGGATTCTACCGACTGCTGGAGCCTAAGGTTACCATTCGCTGCCGACCGCAGGATGTTGAATTTGTTCAGGTGAAGCTGTTCTGACTAGTTATTTAGAAAAGAAGGAACAGGCCATCTGCCTCTTTTGTCGAATGCACAATAAAACATAGAGTTGTTTTCTCTCTTTATTACCAAACAGGCTGCAGTCAATAAGAACATCCCGATCTACAAAGAGGCGGTGAGGAGTAATATAACTGTCAAAATCGACAAGGAACGTTTTCTTCCAGCTCAGATGTAAGATGATTCAGTTCTTCAGAAAGGAGGAGGTCATGTGATTGTTACAGATTATCTATTTTGTATTGTCAAGATTGAGATGCAGGAATTTTTGCATTTTTAATCAAATATGACAAACACACTGTAGTCACTGCTCAGCTTTAGTTTGACTTTGGGGGTTGGAACAACTTTGTCTTTGTGGAGTAGTCTCCACATGGTGTTGGAACATTCCTCAGACTTTTTGGTCCACGTTGACATGATGTCGTCACATAGTTGTTGCAGATCATATAATGCAAACTTCCCGTTTAACCGTATTTCAGTGGATTATAATCTAGTGACTGTCGGAGCCATTTGAGTACCGTGGACACATTCTTAGAGGATATGAGCTTTGTGACATCGCACAATGTCCTGCTGCGAGCAGCGGTTACTGTGGTCATAAAGGCATGGACATGCTCAGCAAAGATGCTCAGGCGTATACTGTGGCTCATTTATAGAAAATGTCCTCCACACCGTTGCACCACCAGCAGCCTGAAGCACTGATGCGTGGCCATGCTTTCATGTTGTTTTTACCACACTGTGACCCTATCAAACCAGGCAACATTTCACAAACCTCTGTTATCTAATTTTGTGAGCCCACTCAAATTATAGCCTCAGTTTACTGTTCTTAGCTGACAGGAGGGGCCCTGGTGTGTAGACCATCTGCTTCAAGGTTTGACATGTTGTGTGTTTGGAGGTGCTCTTTTTGTTAACTAGTGGTTATTTGAGTTACTGTTGCCTTCCTACCACCTCAAATCAGTTCTCGTCCTACCTCTGGCATCAGCAACATACTATCACCCAGAGAACTGCTGCTCATTGGGTCTATAAACCCTACAGATGGTTATGTGGAAAGATCCACATACTGCTCAACTTCTGATCAGTAGATCAGACATTTGTGAAATGCTCAGTCCAGCATGCCTGGCACCACAACCACACCACATTCTGATGCTTGGTTTGAACTTTGAACCTTACACTAGACATCCCAAAAGGTTGATTCTGTTCATCTGGACGTTTTCAGTGGGAGAAACGTTTCGTCACTCATCCAGGTGACTTCTTCAGTCTCAGCTGACTGCAGGTTTCCCCAACCTTATAAACAGGACATTTGCACAATGACTGAAACTCGCACCACTGAATGATGTGATGAACAGAACAGAATCAACCTTTTGGGATTTACTTACCTGGATGATTGAGCATGCATCAAGACTTAAACTAGACATTTCATTTTATCTTAACAGCTGTGGAGGAATCGAGGTGTATAATGAGAATGGGAAGATCAAGGTTTCCAACACTTTGGAGAGCAGGCTAGAACTCATTGCACAACAGGTAAAGTAACTTCGATGATATACCTCACATCCAAATCTTCTGCTGCTCACTGCAGTAGCTGCTGTTTGCCTGTGGAGGGCAGCAGAGCCCAACTTGCTTTCCAGTGGATCTAATTCGCTGAAGGGTGGAGAGCTGACAGAGAAAAATCAATTTAATCATTAAGACTAGACTGTCATGCTAACAATGGATTTACTATATTTAAACTTGCTTTGAGTATTCAATGTTGCCATCGTGTCAATAACGCAAAAACTGGTTCCTTTTTTTAGAGTAAAGCTGTGAAATCAAATGTGTAGTAATTACAGTCACTGCTGATTTATGTTCGTAAATTATTCAGCTTTGTTCAGGAGTAAGGTCTTTTGAGTATTTTCTGCAACAATTGTATTATTAATGTATAGGTATTAGAAAAATAATTTTAAGATTCTCTAAAGGCCCAAATGGTCTAGACCAGAAGCATCAAATGTAAGACCCGGAGAGCCGGAATCAGCCCATGGCTTTGGAGTTTTAAAAGCTGACCTCCCCTAACCTTTATTTAGTCCCTAAAATATCTCAATATATGTAGTTAAACTTCTTTAAAATCACAGAAAGGAGAATTTCACTGGTCTGACCCACTTAAGATCAAAGTGGGCTGTGGAATGAGACGTGGGTGGGCTAGAGCAGTCCTTTGTCTTTTCACAGAGATTCAGTACAAATGATCTTACACATCCAGGTGGAAAAAGCTTAAAGATAAACGGGATGTGCACTCGCACTTGTTGGCCTTGATCAGAACAGGAGCCACAGAAATGACATAGTTACATAGAAATTTGGGATGCTGTGTAAAATGTAAACAATGACGGGGTGCATATTATTCCACTCTGTCATTGGATGTTTTTAGGAAACTACATGGATACTTAGAAATCTGGCATCCTGTGTAAAATATAAACAAAGAGTGCAATGAATGAATGTGCAATGATGTTTTTAAGAAATGACATAGTTACTTAGAAACTTGGGATGCTGTTTAAAATGCAAACAATGACAGAGTGCATTTATTTGCAGGTCATTTAAAGCCTTTTTGGTAGAAGAGCAACATATCAGGGATTGAAATAGGAAAAATTGATTGAATTCAAAAAGAGTATATATGCCAGAAACGAGATTTAACATTTTTAGACAGTGGCAAAAAAATCAAATGACAAACTTTGTGTTCTTACAGCTGGAAAGGAATATCAAATACTGAACTGTAACAATTGTAACAATGTTTGAATGCTGTG